ATTACGGCGGTGGGAGACCGTCTATCAGGTGGCACGTTTTAGAACATGGAGTAAAACAATTCGAAAGGGTAAGAAGTATCATTTTAAATACACATGACGGATGTGATTGTTAGGCATTAATAGAGTAATAAGGTTGGAGTAATATGGAGTAAATTCTCCCACCTCGTTTATGTAGAGGAAGATTTCTCGCTGGAAAAAAAAATTTATTTGATAACAATAACATTTTTACTCTAATATGGTGAGATCCAATTTTCCACCCGATACCGATCACAGCCGACATGAAACACGGAAAAAGAGAAAAAAGGAAATCTTATTAAAAAAACAAAATATTCTAAAGCTAAATAAACAAAACCTACCGCGAGCTTCCATTATCATAAAACATATAAACAAACCTAAACAAAAAAGTCTCAAAATCGAACATTCGTATGGGGCATGGAGAAGAAGTTGGACGGTGTAAGTATTGTATGTTATAGTCTCTTTGATTTGTTTTTTTTATCAATCTAATGAATTATTTTTCTAAGGTTTTCTTTCCTCTCTGGAGTTTAAGATTGAACCTTAAAAGCTTTAACATCTAGATTCTATATTGCCTTGACTCGATTTATTTATTTCAATAGTATTGTTAATTCGATTTGTGGAGGCAATTTTTAGCTTTTGTATAGGCTGTCGGAATACTCGTATGTCTTTGAAGTGTTGTACTTAACATATTCCTGTTGTGTTTTATTTAGTGGATCTCAAATTTTATGTCTCAGGTACCACTAGGGATGAGGTCTGTCTCTAAACCGGGTTGCGTGGCTTCAGTGAATTGTCTTCCAGATGAGCTTCTTCTCCCGATCTTGTCCTATTTTCCCATTAACAATCTCCTCTCTCCAAGCGGTGGAGGACTCTGTTTGGTATCCGCCATATTCTTGAGTTTGTTGATTCCGTCTTCTCGTACCCTGAAGAGGGTAAACAGAACAGGGACGACATTCAAAAGAGTTTCAGGGATTTTGTGGATACAACATTGGCTTTGGCTTTGCAAGGCCGTGGTGTCCCTATAAAGTTGTTGCTGAAATGCAAAGACTACCATGACGACGTTGTTCCTGTTGACCGCTGCATATCTAATGCCCTGGAACGCCGTGTCTCGGAGCTTGACCTATGCATAAAATCTAAGACGCTGTGTCTTTTCCCATCCAAACTCTTCACCAGCACAACACTGGTTAAGCTGTCATTGGGAACAAGACTCGCCATCGATAGCTTTCCTCTAGATACATATCTCCCAGCACTAAAATTTCTCTTCGTTGATTCAATTTGGTTTGAGATCGTAGAATTCTCTGATGTGTTTCTTGCTGCTTGCCCTGCACTCGAGGACTTAACCATATGTCACAAGTCTTATCCAGGAATGCCAGACGTCATATCCAGCAAAACCATTAAGAGGCTCTCAATAGCCTATGATTATGCTCTGCAGGAGTATCTTGATTTTAATTTGGATTCACTTGCCGAAGCTACACTGGACCTTCATTTCTTAGAAGGTGGCAAGCTTCAGCAGGAAGTTGACCCGGATGTGACGGATCTCATCAAGGGAATACGCAATGTCAAGACCCTTCACTTGACTTCTTCCGCTGCGGAGGTCAGTTTTTTTGTGTATGGTCTCAATCTTTTCTGGTTAGAAATAGGAAAACAGTTTGTTTCAGGTGATTTCTGTATGCTGCAAAGATGGACTACTGGTGTTCAACAACCTCGTTGATTTAGAGTTCTCTAGTCACAAAGAAGGAGTTTCGACAGTGCTTCTGCTGAAGAATTCCCCAGACCTAAAAACTCTGGTTCTCTCGGTAAGAAGCCAACACTAAAACAAATCTAATATGACTGTGGCATGAAATTAAAAACAGTCTCTCCTCTTGATGCTTCAGGGTATGGATTGTTTGTGTGGATTTGTGGGGATTTGCATTCCCCCGAATAACCAAGTAGCATATCATGGAGTATCGAGGAAGTGCAAACGAGCTAAATACGTTGGCCATTTCTTATTGAAAATGGAAAGTCTTGAAGTGGTGAGAGTTCATGTAGCACCTGCTGAAATGGATGACCTGAAGAAGTTGCAGCAACTCTCAGAGGATCTGTTGAAGCTTCCCGCAGCTTCATCCAACCTCAAGATGCAAGTCATGTGATCATCATCATCCATGTGTTGTTAGATTTCTTCAAAAATCAAATAAATAAGGTTTCTTGTTTTAATAATTTATGATTTCTTGTTACTGTGAAAATCATAATGAAAAACCACTTGGTAGTATGCATCTACTCTCTATCCTGCCAAGTCTATGCTTATGTTTAGGGGTTTCTGCAGTATTTTGCTACATAAGCTGTGGCTTTTTGTTAAAACTACGGTTCCTTTTATTAGTGAGTGTCTTTATGCTAACGTAGAGTATCTGTAATATTGTATCCTCCAGTGGTCTTGATTTAAGTTTGGCACAGGCTTCCTCTCATGTCTCCTGCTGCCAAAGTCTCTGAGTTTCACAGAGAAGGGAAACGACTGGTAAAAATCTCTCTGATTTGCATGTATGTGTATTTGTTCATGTGATATCAGTTCATGTGTTTTGCCCCAAGGTTATTTCATTCTCCAAGACTTTTGGAGTTTGCAACTTCTTCGCTTGCCTTCTCATTGTAAAGATGTTGAAAGATTTTAGAAATGTTTTGGCGCGTTAGTGAGAAATTTTGGATCCTGAGATGAATATCTCAAACATTGAATAGATGGTAGATAAGATGGAAATCCCCCTAAGAATATTTGTGCCTTAGATATCTCGTAGAGAGCAGGGTTTTGAATTTGCAGGTTTTGCAAAACAGGGCCGATCATTGTGGTTGTTTTTTGGTGATGTGAATTTTGAGTTTCATGAGCCTTTGATGCCTTTGCTTTCTTCCTGAGCTTGGCATCACAGATCGGTATGTGTTTGATTGTTGAGCCACTGAGTTTGCTACGAATCTCTGAGAGATCATAAGAACAATGCTGGATTGATTCAGCTAGTATGATCTTTGTACTTATTCTTGTGTGTGTATCTTATGTTGCTGGTTTTAAAAGAAGTACAAGGGATATATGTATCTGCTGGTGTTGGATGTATGAAAATTCTAAAACCACTGGTAAGAAATATCTCTGGACAACACTTCTTGAAGAGTTCCCAGGTGGCACGGGTACTTTCCCAATAGCCTGCTAGAAGTTGGAGAGAAGAATAGGGATGAATGCAGTTGGAGCTCACAACGTTAGTGTTTTCTGACGATTCTTAGCTATTTTGATTCAAAGATGTTTGTACAATGAATGAATAATCTGCCACTTTGTATCATCACCATCCTCACAGCTATCCGAGTTCACCCCTTCATCTTTGGATCCAGATACAACTCGGCAATGTTGATTGATAGCTACGTGGCAGAGATTGCTTCCGATGCGAATCTGAAACCCCTTGTACGCAGAGAGCATTTCCTATCTAATTTAACAAAATCTTCCCTTGTTTTCAAATTTTTTTCTTCCAAAAGATCCATGTTTTGAATATGAATTTCAACTTGGCAGGAGCATCCATTCAGACAAGAACACAACTCTGCAACATCATGGAGTCCCAAAGACTCGTAATACTTTTTTTTGGGGGTTTAATCGACCGTAATACTTCAAGTCCGCTTCTTTATAGAAAGAAACTATATTTGTACTTACTTTCACAAAAACTAGAGCAATCAATAAATTTATTCATGAACTAGAAAGTAGAAACTATTTGACCTTTCTTTCGTAAAACTATGCTGCTCATGTTTGATTTATGTGTAAAACCTTTTTTTTTTGTCAATCTGGTAGATTTGATTGAAATTTGTTACCGAAATTACACACATCGGCAAGGAACACATTCCTTCCGATCCAAAAGCTGGAAGACACGGGAAAACTTCCATAACCAAAAGCCGAAAGACACGAGAATACTTCCAGAGCCAAAAGCCGGCAAATTCCGAAGACCATCCAGAGCCAAAAATATAAGCCTTAAAACCAAAAGTTACGATACAAAGAAACACAAAATCTAAAACCTCGCGAGAAAAAAACAAGAACGTAAAGCAAACTACACTTTGGAGGAGAAAATGTACAAGAGCAACTAGTAGCCGAAATTTATTGCGGTTAGAACCACACGCTGAGCCACTTAAATCTGGTCCCGAAGAGGATTGAACATCCTTTGGAGCCATGAGTTACACGCGCTTGAAGAACAAACCAAGAAGACGAAGAATCTAATTTTTGCAATCGACTTCCTACGACACTATGCTTCAATTTTCTGAACAACTGTTCAAAATATACCATCATCTTTTTTTTTTTTCCAAAATCTATCAGTACACGTTTTGGAAAAAAACATTTCTACCCGTGGGAGAGAGAAATAGATCTATTTATTGTTAACTACGATAATTTTTCATAATGCCTCTTTCGATG